CCTTCTGCTTCTTCCCTGAGAGATGTATCACTTGTTGGCCCAAACCTCTCTCACTATGCAAATTGTTTTATTCAGCAGAGAAAACACACCTTTTGTTTTAGCTAGCTTTGCTTTTTGTGGTGTATGTAAAGCGCATATCCGGAAGCACTGCTTTTTAATGTTTGCCGGGGAGCGTTTTGCAAAGCTGCTTTTTGAGAGGAGGGTTTTGCAATGTTATGCGGCATAATGGCCGATGCAGAAATTTCCTTGACCTGGTTTCAGTGTTTTGTTTTGTTTTAAATAGCATATTCCACCCCCGGGGGTCTCCAGTAAAAATGAGGAAATGCTGGAACTCAAGAATTTGCCTGTGTGATTTGGTCAAGGTACAAAAATGTGCAGATCTCAGCAGTGAAAGGGGAAAGGGGGAATTCTTCAACAAAATGCCAGTGTAGATGATTTGGAGCATGCGAGGAAGGAGCTGCAGTTTAGTGGGGTCTAGTGATGAGCCACTGTGTGCCTAGGAGAAGGGGTTCGTGAACTGCACCCAGAATGTGCCTGTCAAAGTGTGGTAGCGCAACATTCAGTTCTTCCAAAGCAGCTCTTTATTTGTAAGCTGGAACAGAACTGAACTGAGGAGTTCAGTCAGCCTGCTTATATAGAGCTCCAGAACAATGTAAATGTTGCAACTTTATAAAACTATCCAATCACTGAACGTCACTTTCGATCCTTCATTTGCATAACTATCTATAGTATCCCCCTGCTGGCCCAGGGTGAGAACTTCAGTACATAACATCTTCCAATATAAGAATGCCCACTCACATCATAAAGAGCTCATAACCCACCTACTCTCAGCAGCTAGAAACATCATAGCCAGACACTGGAGAGACCTGTCAGAAGTAAGCATGGACCAATGGTATCATATAGTATGGAACCGTATCGAAAGCTGACTTTAGATTGATAAAAGCAACATATAATTTTTGCTTCAAATTATGGATGTATTTACATAGCAGAAAGTTCATCACAAAGCACTGGTCCAATGTAGATTTCCCTCTTTGGAAACCTGCCTGGACTTCAGATATCACCTTATTTGTATCTGCCCATTCTTCCAGTCTCCCAAGAAGGAGCCTAGCATATAGTTTAGAGGCTACATCTAACAAACTAATGTGTCTATAATTGGCAGGGTTTTTCTTATCACCCTTTTTATATATTGGGGCAATTATACACAGCTCCCACCCTCCTGGTATGCGACCTGAGCTGTTAATGTGTGAAAACAGTTTTGCAAAAATGAGTGACCAGAAATCAGGTCTTATCTTATAAATCTTCATTGAGATCCAATAAATGAAACTGACACGGGGGAAAATAGAAGATGCCTTCACCCTGGTATGGCTCCCCTTTATCACGTACATAGCCCAAGAAGACAACGACAAGAATCCGCTGACAGCATACGAATCAATCTGGCTAACCCGATTCAAAAATACACACTCACACCCCAGTCACACACAAAAACAAATCTCACTACAGCCAACCAAAGACAACCAACCACCCCCTAGGCCACCCCCAACCTCTTTCACCACCAAGGAAATATGAGTGAATAGTAAGAGAACCCACACAAGTGACAATGACACAAACCCCCACACATATACTAAGCAGAATACAGTGGTACCTCGGGTTACAGACGCTTCAGGTTACATTCGCTTCAGGTTACAGACTCCGCTAACCCAGAAATAATACCTCGGGTTAAGAACTTTGCTTCAGGATGAGAACAGAAATCACGCAGCGGCAACGGGAGGCCCCATTAGCTAAAGTGGTACCTCAGGTTAAGAACAGTTTCAGGTTAAGAATGGGCCTCCAGAACGAATTAAGTTCTTAACCCAAGGTATCACTGTAATAGAAGCATTGCTACCTGACCCCACCCCACTCACTATGCCCCTCCCCCTCTTTCTCCCTCTTCTCTTCCTAACCTAACACTGTATGTAACACTAATGTCTCACAACAAATGAAACTGATCTTGCAAAAAGAGACAACACACGTATTTTTATAAACTAAGAAATCTTTAAAATATATATATATATATATATATATATATATATATATATTTAAAAAATAATGTGGAGGGAGGGCTTTAAGCCCAGGGGTCAAATATTGCTTCCTAGGCCTATTTGGCCTTCAGACCCATTCCCAGGCCACACGCCTCTTATCAGACACACCTCCTCTCTCCAGGCCCCACCCCTCACAGTTATGGAGAATGCAGGTGGCTATCAACCTGTAGAGCTTGGTTCACCTTAGTCTTCCCCCATGCTGTTGATTGTATGGAGGAAGCCATCCTAAACCATCATATGTACTGGCGCAGAGGACCTTTTGCAACCAGAGGACCAGATCCAGAGCTGGCTCACCCACCATGAGGCCACCCACTGATCAGTCAGCTGATTTCTAAAGGCTTGTGTCCCCAGTGAAGGTCAACCAAACCACAGGGTCATGGGGTCATTAGCTCAGGTATCGTGAATCTGGCCTGGTAGCCAGTTGGCATCCCCACTAAATGGCAATAGATTGGTGCATGCGTGTGAAATGCACAACCCGCCCCCTGCCAGCCTCTGGTCTGCTGCCACTAAAGTTGCCCCAAGCCTCTCTACCCCAGGCATATCAGAGACGGTCAACCCAATTGGCTATAAGAATCACTAATTACAGGGGCTGACTGAACCGATCAGTTAATTAAATTTAAATAAATGTGCATGTTTGCAACATCTCAGAATAAATGTTTTTTGCAGTGTGATATTAAAAGGAAAGGGAATGCAGTTTAATAAACAGAAGCTGTCATTCATCCTTAAAAGGAAGAATTCCCTGCTTCAATAATGCACCAAAGTCAAAATAAATATTCCACTTCTGTTTCACCAATGTAAAATTGCCCTCACTAAGAAATGGATGAAAGCTTTACGTGATTAATATAGTGATCAAACCAATTAAAGCTTGCATCCATCTAACCAATTTTAGAGGTGGAAATCAGTCTTTTGGTCTCCCCCTGCCCCCAATTTCCCCACAATCTCCATCCTTTCCTTCCATTACACAGCTTCTAAATTGAAGCTATGAGGAGTTCTTTATAACAGTGTTTTGGTGAATGATACAGTTTTGAAAAGTGCTAACAATTTCAAAAGGGTAGAAGGAGCGGCAGAACTTCCCCTTCACAGTTTCAAATCTGCACCTACTCGGAGCAACTGGCTCTCTTCCATGCAGCAGAAAGTGAGCGAATGCTAGAATACAGAAAATATAATTAGATTTATATTGATTTTCCCCTCCCAAATATTTGAAAGACCAGCATATTTTCCTCCAATGCATTAATTACTAAGGAAAAGAGGTGTGCAGAAAAGGAAGTAAGTTAGCGATTGAGAGACCACCTATAGTATTATTCCGTTTCTATATCTTGCATGATTCCAGAATTTGTAAACATATTATCAAAGGCTTATTTACATCTAGTGCCTTTTGGGTGCCTTCTCTTTGCTTGTGTTAGGGATGGGAATCTTGCTGCCCTTCACATGTTAGGTAAAGGTAAAGGGACCCCTGACCATTAGGTCCAGTCGTGGCCGACTCTGAGGTTGCGGCACTCATCTCGCTTTATTGGCCGAGGGAGCCGGCGTACAGCTTCCGGGTCATGTGGCCAGCATGACTAAGCCGCTTCTGGCAAACCAGAGCAGTGCACAGAAACGCCGTTTACCTTCCCGCCGGAGCAGTACCTATTTATCTACTTGCACTTTGACGTGCTTTCGAACTGCTAAGTTGGCAGGAGCAGGGACTGAGCAACGGGAGCTCACCCTGTCGCGGGGATTCAAACCGCCGACCTTCTGATCGGCGAGTCCTAGGCTCTGTGGTTTAACAAAGAGCACCACCCGCATTCCCCTTCACATGTTGCTGGACTACAATTCTTATCATCCCCAAACATTGGCCGTGCTGTCTGGGGCTGATGGGAGCTCGAGTCCAGCAGCATCTGGAGGTTCCCCAGCTCTGGTTTATGAACTGAAGCCCGTCACACTTACTAGTTGTTGTGCGGGAGCTGCTTCCCCATATCTGGGTCCTGTTCTGCTCTGCTGAGCATTTGAAACAAGAGACCACATAGAGAGGGACGTCTGCATCATGATATACAGGCTTCTTGAACTCTGCGACCCTTTGTGGCAACCTATGTGCTGCTCGCAAATAGAAGGGGAAGAAATGGAGGCAGTGGGAGATTTTACTTTCTTGGGCTCCATGATCACTGCATATGGTGACAGCAGTCATGAAATTAAAAGATGCCTGCTTCTTGGGAGAAAAGCAATGACAAACCTAGACAGCATCTTAAAAAGCAGAGACATCACCTTGCCAACAAAGGTCCGTATAGTTAAAGCCATGGTTTTCCCAGTAGTGATGTATGGAAGTGAGAGCTGGACCATCAAGAAGGCTGATCGCTGAAGAATGGATGCTTTTGAATTATGGTGCTGGAGGAGACTCTTGAGAGTCCCATGGACTGCAAGAAGATCAAACCTATCCATTCTTAAGGAAATCAGCCCTGAGTGCTCACTGGAAGGACAGATCCTGAAGCTGAGGCTCCAATACTTTGGCCACCTCATGAGAAGAGAAGACTCCCTGGAAAAGACCCTGATGTTGGGAAAGATGGAGGGCACAAGGAGAAGGGGATGACAGAGGACGAGATGGTTAGACAGTGTTCTCAAAGCTACCAGCATGAGTTTGACCAAACTACAGGAGGCAGAGGAAGACAGGAGTGCCTGGCATGCTCTGGTCCATGGGGTCACGAAGAGTCGGACACGACTAAATGACTAAACAACAACATGTGCTGCTCTGTAGCTGTCCTTGGTACTGAGGAGCTGGCTTCCATCTCTGACCTTGCTAATCCTTGTTATGCAGCTTCTTAAGATTGCCACTTACCAGCTACTTGATACCACTACCTGTTTCCAGGTGTACTTTCTTGCTTGAGACTAGAGAGCCTGCCCAAACAGTTGCCTGAAACAGTTCTTTTGCTGTTCCATTTCTCATCACACCCTCTTTCCATCCTTAGGCTCAAATCTCATATGAGTAAACCTCACTGAACTCACTAAGATTTACTTATAAGTAAACACACACAAGTGCTTGTGTGCTGGTCAGGATGATCCTCAGAGCAGGTCCATTTTCTGTTCCAATACCTAAAGAAATACCTGCAGTGAGCAATATCAAGAAATGTCATACCGTCTTGGAAGTAACTCATCAGCTCAGCTAGACATAAAAGTGAAACAAGGTGTAAAATACCTTGAAAGCCTCAATTTATTTTCGTGCCAGAAAGAGACTGTTCATTTAATTATTATCATTTTGTTCAGGAGGCCTAAATAGGATATGGTTCTGGAGATTTTAAAAACCGCCTCCAATTTCCCACCTATTATTCCACTATGTAGCAATGCATCTGCGAGATAGTGGGTCCAATTAGTGGAGGCACATTGCTCTAAGACAGTAAGAAGAGGTTATGTGTCCTGATTTACACCTCCCATTATGACACAACTAGAGAAAGAACCGCCACAAAAAAATGTTCAGCTGAAGCCAAGGGTGACCAATCCAGGTGTAATATGATCACAGCTCCATCTTCCAAACTAATAAGGCTGCCAAGTTGGCGTCAATGGCCAATTTTCTCTTCAACAATCAGGTTATGAGGCTATATGAATTTCACTCAGATGTGGAAGGGGGCCAGACCTCCTCAATAATGTCCTTTTCGTCCAGATAATAGACTAACTCCACCCTGATTAATAGCTGTTCCTCAGCTCCACCATTGGCCTAAAGGATTTTTGCTGACTTTGTCACCAGAGAAATATATGCTCTTGCCAGGCATTATGTATTCTCCACTTCTGAATGCTTTTGCTTCTTTACGCTTCTGGCTCTTCTTCCTTACCCTGTAAGTTCCAGCGCCATACAGCACATGCCAGTGAAAAGAGAAATAAATCACAGATTTATAAATTACACAAATCAGGCGGCCTATTTTTCCCTCCAGCCCATCATAAATACAGCTTCCTCTTGGCTAAATTCACCTTCCTGTACCCATTACAAATTTACATTTCCCCTCCTTCCTTTTCCTTTTGCATAGATCACAGTACTGTCTTGGTGTGTAATCATTTACTCTCACATCTGGAGCTCTCGGGGAAATGAGATCTAAGTTTTCGGATGCATTTCCCATCAACAATTTCCCATGAATAAATTCTTAGCTATTCTGCAAAATGCTTAGGAAGCAAGCATCTCAAACTTTGTCACTGGGTATTTCCTTTTCACGAGACACGGAAGATTTTGCAAGGAGTAACACTAGACCTTTCTTTCCACCCAGGCCCTCTCCCTCCATGACTTGGGAGCGGTGTCTCTTTCCTGGGCCACTACCAGTAACTTTGGAAGCCAGGGGAAGGTGGGAGGAGCTGGCAACCTCAAATCTCCTGGGAGCTGGAGCAAAAGCCATGTTGAAAAGAGAGTACCTGTCTATTTCTGGTCCGCATCAGCAGAGCCGTCTTTTCTATTGGGCTTACTGGCGCATTGCGCCAGGGCACTGGCCTGTCGGGGGCGCCCCAGTGAGTGGGGGAGCTGTGCGGCTTTGCTGACGGCCTCCCCTTTCCCTGCATGCCCACCAGCTGTGGCCCGTCAACCATATGGCTGGCAGGCATGCAGCAGAGGTTTGGGAAAAGGTCGACAACTCTGGGAAATGGGGTGGGGGGCGCTGGAGGGATCTTTGCACCATGGCGCCGGATATGCTTAAGATGGCCCTGCACATCAGTGTTGCATGTGTCTATTTTTAATTCAACCCTGCTCTGTTTCCACACCCATCTGTGCATTTTTTAATGCACAAAATTCACATTATTTCTGTATGTATTTAAAAATAAAATATGCATTTTGTAGGCATTTTACCCTAAAATATGGATGCATCTTAAAATTTAATACATGTAATGGGCCTTATTAATCTTTTTAGATGCGGAGAAAGCTTTTGATAACATATCTTGGTCATTTCTGATTAAGGTATTAGAGAAAATGGAAATAAGTAATTCTTTTCTGGCTGGAATTAAAGCGATCTATACTGACCAATCCACAAAATTTTTAGTAAATAATATTCTTACAGACAAATGTCAAATAGAAAAGAAACAAGACAAGGTTGTCCCTTATTTCTATTGGTGTTTGTTTTGACATTAGAAATATTGCTTCACAATATAGGGACAAATAGGGAAATTAAAAATAAATAAATACATGTTACGCTTTTGGTGGAGTGGATAATTGTATTCTGATCTGCTTATTGCATGTTGTCTGCAGCTTCTGATGGAATAGTGCACAAAGAAGACACAATGCAGCAGTATTTGCATCACTGAGGTCATACTGGAGAAGGCTCTCATATGAATGGTTTAGTTAGCAAGGCAGGAAGGAGGAAATAGCAACATCAAGCTATAGCCAGAGCTGTCAACATCACATGAGCCACCTGAAAAGCGATTGATGGACAGCTCCTGCCTAATGGCCCTTAGGTTTCCTTGGAGACACCAGTTTGATAAATTATATCACAGCCTCCATCCAGGATTAAATCTGGCTTCACAGCAGGGCAAGGGTAGCCACAGTGTCATCCAAGGTCCCTACAGTAGTCAAATCACCGTCCTTTCAACTTGCATGGACTGTTGCATTCAGTCACCTTAGCCTACAGCCAGGAAATCATGCAATTGCACCTATGAGGGGGCAAATTTAGCTTGAATAATGCTACTGCAATTCCCATTGAAAGGGGATGTCAACCTGTGATATGGAAGGGAGACAGGTGAAAGTTATTTCTGAGGCCTGGGAGAAATCAACAGGCATTAGGATCGAGGAGATGCTAGCAGAATATTGCACCTTGGCCATCGTACACACACCCAGGGATGGAAACCACGAGATTAGACCTGGACAACTGCTGGTGAAAGGTTAAGAAGGAGATTAGGCAGGTGCATGAGAAACAGCTGGGAGAAAGGCCAGGGATAAGGGGAACCCTACTCGCTGTTGAGAGTGGTAGAAATCATAGGAAGTTCAAATGGTGCTCCTTATGGCTTTGCCCCCTTTTGTTGCTTTAATTAATTAATTAATTAATTAATTAATATACTGCTTATACCTCAAAGCAGCTTCAAACAGTACTGAACTAGACTGACCAATGGTCTGCCTTAATACAAGGCACCACTCCATACCACTGGGCTTTGGCTATCTTGTATGATATGATATATGATATGATATGATATTCCTGTGCTCCTAATCAGCAAAGAACGTTCTGAACATTAATAGGCCAGATAGCTCATGTAGCAAAAGGCTGACCTCTTAAAAACAGCTTCCAGGTCACGCCTGCTGTCTGGTATGGCTTCTTCCATTTCCCACAGGTGTTACTTTTTTCATAGGGAATGAGGGTGGTGCTGTGGTCTAATCCACTGAGCCTCTTGGGCTTGCAGATCAGAAGGTTGGCGGTTCGAATCCCTGCGACGGGGTGAGCTCCCATTGCTCTGTCCCAGCTCCTGCCAACCTAGCAGTTCGAAAGCACACCAGTGCAAGTAGATAAATAGGTACCATTGTGGCAGGAACGTAAACGGCATTTCCGTGCGCTCTGGTTTCCGTCACCGTGTCCCGTTGTACCAGAAGCAGTTTAGTCATGCTGGCCACATGATCTGGAAAGCTGTCTGTGGACAAACGCTGGCTCCCTCAGCCTGAAAGCAAGATGAGCACTGCAACCCCAGTCGCCTTTGACTTGACTTAACCGTCCAGGGGTCCTTTACTTTTTACCTTTTTTACTTTTTCAGATCTCACCTCACCTGAACCTTTACTCCCCATTCATTTGGCAGCAGTTGGACTGGTCAGCAACAGCGAAGGCAAAAAAGATATATTCGAAGAGACCTATTCTTTTGAAGTGGCCTTCATGACATGAAATACAACATAATTCCTAGGTCCCTTAGAGAGATGTCTACATCCCTCCCTGACATGACCATTTGTTTTCAAGATGCAGAGTGGAATTCTAGGTCCCAGGCACTGCATATATACCATGCTTATTATTTTTTTAAAAAATATTTTCTTAAACAATTTCAAGAGAACAAATTATCAATCAATATAACCAATTATAATTTTTTGCCCATTTTTATTCCCCCCTCCCCCCCATTCTTTTACACTATTTCTTCAGCAAATTAACCTTCCACTCAAAGTATCTTTTGCAGCAGAAACAGAGCAGGCAGGTCTCTTATCTGACAATCCTTTCCTGTCCAGCATCCATAAAACATGGATAAACCTCAGCAGGACAATGGAGAGCATATGGGCTTCTGGACGTTTGCGTATTTGCCAGATTATGTAATCCGTCCGTTATCAGGGCAGTGCCCTACATCTGCTTACCGCAAAGCCCAGCAGTCGAGTCCTCCTCCTCCTGGCCTCCTTGGCGTGGCACCCGGCGTTAAAGCTACAGGTCACCAAGTGAAAAGCTCTATTCATGAGGCTTGGCTCCTGGCCTTCTAGCCAGCCATTCATGAAGCAGCGATCGCTCCATTCATCTGTCAATCTGGCATGAGGATTTAATTAAATCCCTCTTTGGCTAGAGCTCCCAGGTGCAAGGGGGGGTGGGGAGTGGGAGGGTTGCAGCAGCACAATAATGATGATAATTATTTATACTTGAGCCGAATGACCTAAGCATTCTTTTGTTGGGATGTTATTACCATTTTTCATTAAAAATGAGTCGGTTTGTTGTTCCGTTTTACTGCTAAATGGAGGGAGAGGGCTTCAAAGCCCTGGATGCTCCTTATATGAAGCTACAATCTCAAAAATGGAAGCAGTTTGTCATTGCCAAAGAATGATAACTGCAAACCCTCCAACATTTCTCTGATGAAAATAGGGACGTCCTATTCAACAACAACAACAACAACTGACTAGGTTGCCCCAGCCACTCTGCAGGAAGTCACTTGGATGACGCTTGGGGGGCAAAAGTTGCAAGTAGCCCGGATTCTTTTGCTCCCGCCCTTCTTGTTCCCTTTCAGCTGCCGGCTTTGTGAATTTGGCATCTTGCAGATCTGTGTATTCCCTCCTCCTGCCCTGCTGGATGGGATTTTCCAGGCCTCTGCGAAGCTGCATGTTAGATGCTCAAACAGGTAAGGGATTTTGTGGCAGTGATGAAGCCCCAGGCAACAGCTGGATGGGCAGTGATGATGTCACAAAAGCTGAGGGGATGATGTCACAGTGAATCTGAGCAGCAGAGGAGAGCTTAGGAGTTGCTCCCAGAGTCAAGGTTGTTATCCACTCCATTGGATGAAGCATATCTCCCAACATTTCTCCGATGAAAATAGGGACGTCCTATTCAACAACAACAACAGCAGCAATAATAATATTTATACCCTATCCATCTGACTGAGTTGCCCCAGCCACTCTGGATGGCTTCCAACATATATAGAAACACAATAAAGCATTAAACATTTTGAAAAACCTTCCCTATACAGTGGTACCTCGGGTTAAGAACTTAATTCGTTCCGGAGGTCCGTTCTCAACCTGAAACTGTTCTTAACCTGAAGCACCGGTTTAGCTAATGGGGCCTCCTGCTGCTGCCGTGCCAGAGCATTTGTGTTCTCATCCTGAAGCAAAGTTCTTAACCCGAGGTACTATTTCTGGGTTAGCGGAGTCTGTAACCTGAAGCGTATGTAACCTGAAGTGTATACAACCCAAGGTACCACTGTACAGGGCTGCCTTCAGATGTCTTCTAAAGGTTGTATAGTTACTTACCGTATTTTTCATTCTATAAGACACACCAGACCACAAGACGCACCTAGTTTTTGGAGGAGGAAAACAAGAAAAAAAATATATTCTGAATCTCAGAAGCCAGAACAGCAAGAGGGATCGCTGCACAGTGAAAGTAGCAATTCCTCTTGCTGTTCTGGCTTCTGTGATAGCTGCGCAGCCTGCATTCGCTCCATAAGATACGCACACATTTCCCCTTACTTTTTAGGAGGGAAAAAGTGAGTCTTATAGAGCAAAAATTACGGTATTTCCTTGACTCAGAGGTCGCATAATTCCATACCCTCCAACACATCTGATGAAAATAGGGACGTCCTAAGGAAAAGCGGGATCAAACCAGAAACTGGGATGGTTTCTGTAAATTCAGGACTGTCCCTGGAAAATAGGGACACTTGGAGCTACTTTTCCATAAAGTGGCCCCATACTTCTGGGTGCTGTGCTTCTGCTGGAACCACCAATCCCGGAACAGATTGCATTGGCCTTTCACATGAAAGGTCATACTGGAGCAAGTTTTCCGTGAAGCTGTATTTACGTGGGTGCTGATTTTCTGGGACTTGTGTGACCTGCCAAGTCACATGGCTGCCTCATTTACTCAGATAGCCAAACGAGATGACATCATGGGAAAGCAAGTCCTCCAACCCAACGGCCCTGTGAGGAAGGTACATGAGAAAACCCTCTTAAGGCAAGAACTAATGTCAGGCATTCATTTCTACAATCTGATGGGCAAACTCCTCTTGACTCAATTTTGAATTGACTCAGTAAATATGAACTTTGCCCTGTGAGTGCTTCAAGAGTTCTCTCTCTCAGTTCATAATATTTGTGCTTGTGTGCTGATAGGATCACATTTAGGCACTTTATATCATCTCCCCGAATTGTAGTGCCCAGTGTAACAGAGAGGTATTTGCATGTTCTAGATTACCTTAAAAGATGCAGTAAGAAAAGCATAACAGTAAGACCCACAAAGGGGAGGTGGGAAGTCAAGGGGATTCAAGGGAATCCTGTCTGTAGATAAAATGATGTGTGATGAATGTAAAATTTAATATGCAGTGGAACCTCGGCTGATAAACATAATCCATTCCGGAAGACCGTTCAACTTCTGAAACGTTCAACAACCGAGTCACAAAGGGCTGTCAGTAATCTCAATGGTGAAAATTGAGAAACACGCCGTGGGAGCCATTACACTTCTGAGGCGTGTTTGAAAACGGAAGCAATTACTTCCAGGTTTTGGCATTCAGGTTCCGAAACGTTTGGCTTCCGAGATGCTCAAAAACCGAGGTTCCACTGTATGGAAAATCAAATAATATTTTTTTTTGGGGGGGGGGAGAGGTATTTGCATATTCAACTGCTTCTTCACTCCTAAACCAAACACGCAGGAACACAAGAGATTGTTTTCATTCTGGAAAGGAGACAAAGGTCACATACAACAATTGTGAAAGATAATCAAGAGAATTGATCCTAAAGGAGAAGATACAAACAAACAGCTGCTTGATCATCTCATATAGTTTACAGCTGTCAATGACAGTTTTATCAGGGATAAGGGGTTAATGTTAAACTTTGATCCTTGGACCTACAATACATTTGACCATTTGCAGGATGACTCCAAAAAAGTGTGGCGGATGGGTAGAGTTTTGCAAGAAATTTGCGGGATGGGGTTATTATTATTATTTATTAAATTTGTAGACCACCCTCCACCCAAAGATCCAAGGACAGTTCACAACCAGTGGCGTACTGCTAATTTTGTCATAGGGGAACATTTAGGGCCAGAGGTAAAAGGTAAAGGTAAAGGACCCCTGGACAGTTAAGTCCAGTCAAAGGCAACTATGGGGTTGCAGCGCTCATATCACTCTCAGGCCGGGGGAGCCGGCGTTTGTCCACAGACAGCTTTCTGGGTCATGTAGCCAGCATGGCTAAACCGCTACTGGTGCAACAGAACACAGTGACGGAAACCAGAGTGCATGGAAATGCCGTTTACCTTCCCACTGCAGCGGTACCTATTTATCTACTTGCACAGGCGTGCTTTCGAACTGCTAGGTTGGCAGGAGCAGGGACCGAGCAACGGGAGCTCACTTCATCATGGGGATTCAAACCACTGACCTTCTGATCCACAAGCCCAAGAGGCTCAGTGGTTTAGACCACAGTGCCACCTGCATCCCTAGTTAGGGCCAGAGGTGCCAGCTTGCAAGGAGCGATGTGGGGGATGTTTGCACATGAGCATCGTGCCTCCCTCCCTCAGTCAGGCAGAAACTTCCTGAGCTTTGGAAAAGAGGTGCCAGGTCCCTGAAAAGATAATGGAACCTTCCTGCCTCCTTTCTCAAGCTGGGTGGGAAGGTGGCAGGAGAGCTCTTGGACCCTGTCGGAGAATTGCGTCTCCCTCAGTAATCCAGGTAAAAGCTTCCTGAGCTTTGGGAAGGAGGCGCCAGAGGAACGTTTAGAGGACTAGCCTAGTCCACTGTTCACAACAGAAAAATAGAAAATGTGTGTGTATGTGTGTGTATCTTAAGCTCCACAGATTGCCACTTGCATGTTGTTTTTTTGTTTAATCGTTTAGTCGTGTCCGACTCTTCTGACCCCATGGACCAGAGCACGCCAGGCACTCCTGTCTTCCACTGCCTCCTGCAGTTTGGTCAAACTCATGTTGGTAGCTTTGAGAACACTGTCCAAC